AAGTCCAAGGTCATGCCAGTGCCCCCCCCCCCAGCCAATATCCCTTTTCTCACTTAAACTGAAAGCTGCTACTAATTTTCACCTTTGCTTGTTTTGGACCACTGTGTTCAATTTCACAGCTGTGAAGTCTCCCCAAGCTATTGTCTTCATCACACACTGAGCAGCAGACAGGTAGCAAGGTTGCTTTGCTCCCTCTAGCTCTTCTCTCTCTTTCTCTCTCTCTCTTTCTTTCTTCCTTTTTTAAAAAAGCTTTCTGCCCTCTTGGGGTTTTCTCTTGTTAATCTCTGTGTATTTTCTCACCTAGAACAGAAAGCTATTAACCATCCCCAACTTTTCTTTTTCTTGGGGCTCTGAGTCCAACTTCAGAGCTGTGATGTCTACTCCAAACTGTCCTCCCAGACCTGGTGAAAGCCAGGTAGGAATGCTGCTTTAATTCCTCTTTCTCTCCTGTTTCTTCTTCTTCTTCTTCTTTTTTAAACAGCTCTCTGCCCTTCTTGGACATTTCTATGACTAATTTCTGTATATTTTTCACCTTGGACAGAATGCTGCTATTCATCTTCACCCTTGGCTGTTTTGGACCTCTAGATCCAACTTCATGGCTTTAAAGTCTCCCTGAGTTAGTCTCCCACTCCAGGATCCAGTACTAGCCAGGTAGGAAGGCTGCTTTTCTCACTCTTCTCACCGTCACTTCTTCTAACTTATTTCTTTATTGGAAAACCTCTCTATGCTTTCCTAGAGCTTTTCACTTGTTAATCTTTCTTTTTTCTTTTTTTATTATTTGTACATTTGTCATTATTATTCATACATTAAATTGCTATACATCATTTAAACTGTGAAGAGATTTCTACCCAGAATGGTATACACTTCAGTCCAGTCGAGACCACCATACAACAGATAATTGACCATATCTGTGTCCCACAACTGCCTTACCTCTCCATTTCCCCCCACATTTCCTCTCACACTCTCTTTCCTCTTTGTCTCTAGTGTCCATCACAATTTTCAGTAATTTTATATTCTCTAGTCATTCATTCTCTATCATAGAGTGCGGATAGTCAGTACATGTTAGGTGGAGACATGCAATGTCTCTCTTTCATACACTGACTTGCTTCTCTCAGCAAGAAATGAAATCTTCCATATTCTTCCACATTCTATCAAATTCCATGGCCTTGGTTGGTTATTTTTTTTTTACTTAAATAATATATGTGCCACACTTATTTAATCCATTCATCTTTTTGTGGACATTTGGGTTGGTTCCATGTCTTAGCAATCTTGAATAAGGCTGCAATAAATATAGCTGTGCAAGTGCTTTTCTGACTGAGTGCTCTCCTGTCCTTTGGGTAGATACCAAGGAGTAGAATTGCTGGATCATATGGTAATTATATTTGGAGGTCTTTGTGGAAACTCCATATCATTCTCCACAGTGGCTGGACCAATTTACATTCCCTCCAGCAGTGAAGGAGTGTTCCCCTTTCACCACATCCCCTTCAGCTCTTAACACTATTTTTTTTGTTGTTTTGTAATCTTTGACATTCTGACTGAGGTTAGGTGGTATCTCACTGTGTTTTCAATCTGCATCTCCCCTACAATGAGGAATGTTGACCATTCTTTATATGCTGTTTGGCTATCTGTATGTTTTCCTCCGAGAGTAGTTTATTTAGCTCATTTTCCCAACTTTTAATTGGATTAATTATTTTCTTTTGGGCAAGTTGCTTTAGTTCCTTGTGTATTCTGGTATCAGTCCATTACCTGAGGCACAGTTAACAAAAATTCTCCCCCATTTTGAGGGTTATTAATTTACACTAATTACATTGTTTTTTAGGGTGCAGAAACTTCTCAATCTAATGTAATCCCATCTGTCCATTGGGGGGATTATTGCCTGTACTTTGCGGGGTCTTGCTTAAGAAGTCTTTGCCTACCCCAATGTCTCCCAGAGTTTCCCCATTGTTTTCTACCAGTAGTTGTATACTTTGCAGTCTTAGATTTAGATCTTTAGATGCCCAGGAGTGCAATTGCTGGACCATATGGTAGTTCTAACTGAAGGTCTTTAAGTAACCTCTGTATTGTTTTCCATGGTGGTTGAACCAGTTTATAATGCAACCAACAATGTAGAAGTATTCCCATTTCACCACATACCCACCAGCACTTATCTTCTTTTTTCTTTTTTTCTTTCTTTCTTTTTTTTTTTTTAATCTACACCATTCTGACTGGGATCAGGTGGTATCTATTGTGGTTTTTATTTGTATCTCCCTTATAACGAAAGATGTTTAGCATTTTTTTCATATGTTTCTTGACTGTTCATATGTCTTCCTTAAAGACCTGTTTATTCACCTCATTTTCCCATTTTTTCATTGAGTTAATCATTTACTTCCAGCCACTTGCATTCTCTGTATATTCTGGGTATCAGCCTCTTATCTGTGTCACATTTAACAAATATTCTCTACCATTCATTGGAGTTTAGATTCACACTAATTACAGTGTTGTTGGCTTTGCAGAAACTTCTTAATCTGTTGTAATCCCACCTGTCTATTTGGGGGATTATTGCCTGTGCTTTTGGGATGTTCCTTAAAAAAATCTTTACCTACCCTCATGTCTCCCAGAGTTTTCCCAGTGTTTTCCACAAGTTGATTTATACTTTGTAGTCTCAGGTTTAGATCTTTGATCCACTTTGAGTTGATTTTTGTTAATGGTGACAGATAAGGTTTCAGATTCATCTTTCTGCAAGTGGATACCCAGTTTTTTCAACACCATTTGCTAAAGAAGTTTCCCTTTTCCCACTGGATTGATTGATACCCTTTGTCAAAGATGAGTTGACTATATGTTTTTGGGTTTTATTTCTGGAGTCTCTACTCTGTTCTGCTGGTCCTCATGTCTGTTTTTGTGCAATACCATGCTGGTTTTTTTTTTTTTTGGGGGGGGGGGGGGGGTTTTTTTTTTTTTTTTTTTTTTTGCTATAGGGCACGTGTGCTTGCCAGAAAGACAGAAAGACTGGGAGACAGAGAGCAAGAAATCACCCCCCAGGGGGGACGGCCATACCACAATCCCTTCTCCTCCATTCTCCTCTCGAGATCTTGGGCACGCACACACACGTGCCCAGCGTGAGTTTAAGCCACCAGGTCCGGGACGTCGACTACGTGGGAGTCCAGCGACATAGCCATTACGCTAACTGCTGGTTCCCTACCATGCTGTTTTGATTATCACACCTTTATAATATATTTTTGGGTCAGGGGTTGAGATATCACCTACTCCACTGTTCATACACATAATGACTTTTGCAAAACAGGGCCTTTTATGCATCCAGACAGATTCTATGATTGTCTTTTGTGGGTCCGTGGAGAATGTTTCTTGTAACTTTATGGGGATTGCATTGACCATTAGATAAATTTGGGTAGGATTGCCATTTTGACTATACTGATTCTGCCAAACCAGGAACATGAGATGCCCTTCCACATTTTAGTCTCCTTTTCAATTTCCTTTTTAAGGTCTTTGACTTTTAGAGGTCTTTGACTTTCTTGGTTAGTTTTATTCCTAAGTGTCTTATACTTCTTGTGGTATCTTATACTTCTATGGTAAATGAAATTACATTCTTCAGTTCTGTCTCTGTCTACTTGTTGTTTGTATATAGAAATGCTATAGATGTTTGTTAATTTTGTATCCAGCCAGTTTACTGTATGCATTGATTATTTCAAGAAGTTTTTACATAGCTACTATAGGGCCTTCTATGTATAATAAGCAATCATTTCATCTGCAAACAGAGATCATTTCTGCTCTTCTTTTCCTATTGGAATGCCTTTTATTTCCTTCTCTTGTCTGATCACATTAGCTGAAACTTTCAGTACTGTATTGAATAGGAGCAGAGAAAGTGGTCAGCCTTCTCTTGTGTCCATCTCCAACAAAGATAGTGTTACAGTCTGCCTCTCCTTTTAGATCTAGTATTTTCTGCTTTACAAATTTGGGTGCTCCTGAATTCAGTGCATAGGTATTTACAAGCATTATATCTTCTTGGTGAATTAGCCCTTTTATTACTACACAGTGCCCTTTTCATCTTTTCTTATTGTTTTTTGTCTTGAGGCCTATTTTGTCCAAAAACGGTATAGTGACTTTACTTTTTCCTTTCTTTCGGTTTCCATTTGCATAGAATACATTCTTATATCCCTTCACTTTTAGTCTGTATGTCTATCTATAAGATGTGTTTCTTGTAGGCAGCAGATTGAATGTCTAATTTTTAACCCATTCAGCCAGTCCGTGTCTCTAGATTGGAGAATTTAATTCATTGACATTCGACGTTATCAATATTTCCACACTTGTATCTACCATTAAGTTGGCAACATTCCATTTTTGTACTCTTATTGCTGTCTGTCTCTCATTAGTTTTCTTGATATAGTAATTCTTTCAGAATTTTTTGAAGCGTTGGCCTGGAGTTGGTAAATTGTATCAGGTTTTGTTTATCCAATAATGTTTTTATTTTATTTTCCCATATGAAGGATAATCTTGCCAGGTATAGCATTTTTGTTCTAAATTGTTTTTCATTTAACATTTTGAATATATTTACTCATTCTTTCCTTCTTACATTATTTTGGGTGAGAGGTCCACTGTTAGCCTGATGGCATAGTGTTTGTAAATTATTTGATGTTTCTCTTTTGCAATCTTAGTATCTTGACTTTGTCGATCTGGTAATTCTAGCTATAATGTGGTGCAGAGAGGATCTTCTTGGATTAATTAGTCTTAGGGTTCTTTGTATTTCTTGTGTCTGGATGTTTGAGTACCTCACTAGACTTGGAAAGTTGTCTTCTAGAATTTCATGTAATAGATTATCAATGCCCTTATTAGTTTCTTCAACTTCAGGAATCCCAATTATTTGTATATTTGGGTGTTGTATGGTATGTAGTATTTCTTGTGTGTTATCCTCAGTTTTCTTGGCTGTTTTTTCAGTATTTTTGATAATTTTTTTTAGGTGGTTGATTTTGTCTTCTCTTTCTGAAATTCGTTCTTCTGCATGGTCTAACCTGCTTTTGATACTGTCATGGGAGGTTGGAATATCCTGAATATAGTCTTCATGTGTAACAGTTCTGATTGATTCTTTTTTATGATGTCCAATTCTTACATATCATGAAAGGACATTCTCATCTTTTGGAGCTCAAAATCTCTTTTCTCATTCATCTCACAGAATTTTGTTATCATAGATACCCTAAATTCTTTTTCCACATTTTTGTAACATGCTCTAAATTTTCCCTACTTGGAGACAAGTTACACTGTTCTGTTGGTGGGGGTGTACTACTTGATTCTCTCATTCTTGAGAATCTCCTTTGAGTTTTAATCATTTGGTAATGTATTCACTTGTGGTCAATTTGTTGCAGAGTAATTCAGTGGCTGTGAACCCAGGTGTTTCCCCCACTGTGAAATAATTCTGTGCTATTTTTCCTTTTTACTAAGTCCTCAAATGTATGAAATAAAGGGGAGATTTACAGATAAATATGTGAAGGGAAATTGTACTAATTTGGCAACCCCTGTAGTGATGTGCAAAAGAATTCTCAAAAACTAACAATGCTCAACTGGTTATCTACTTTATACCTAAACTACTCTAGGCAGAGGGTAAGAGCTCAGAAGAAAAACACAAATATATGGGGAAAAAAAGAAGGTAGAAAATAGAAATA